TGAAAGTATTTAGGCAGAATTATCTGATCTGTGTTGGATGTAAGGTCAAAAAGGTGAAATCTTCAGTTCCTTCCCTTCCTTCAGTCATTTCTTACAGTAAGCCATTAACATCTCTGATAACATCTACAGTTTTCAAATACCAGTTTAGATAAAAACCAGTTATTTATGTTAGCTGATGATGGTCACTCCTAATCTACTCTTTTTTAAAAACAAAAAATGTGATAGTCATGGTGACTTGAAAAGCAATCTTATTTTCTTGGGATATATATGCCCTAAGAAACAAGTGTGCCACCTATTGATTTACCAGATATCACCTAAGCATAGCCTTCCTGATTTTGTAATGCTCATATGCTCCAGTAACAATTTTTGAGAACCTTAATGAACTTCATCTCAAAATCCTCTATGATGAGGACTTCAGAAGAGCCCAGTTTCATAGGCAGAAATTCAGCTACAGAAATACTGAAGTACTTGGTCATTCCTGTTAAACAATCAAACCGGTTTCATTTCATGCAGCTTATTCAGGATTATACAGGAAGCTCTATGGTCTCAACTCCTGGCTTAAACCTTCCACTGCTGAACCACCTGTCCTCTTCTGAGAGTCTCTGCAGTTATTGGGTACATACACACACATGCACTGATGTGACATACCACTACCAGCACTCAGAGGTCTAGGTACAAGCTGTGGCTGCAAGTAATCAGTTTCTAAATAATAGCACTATGCAATTTGCCATTTGCAAATTATGATTAATACATTTGCTAAAAATAATCAATTAAATAATTTAATTTAATTTTTGCATAGAAGAAAACTGACTAGAGTATATTGGGGGGACATTTTTCAACACTCCCACACCATACACTTGGTTTAGGCAGGAAGGCTGTGAAAAATGAAGACTTAAAAATCTCACTCGCAAATCAAAAGACAAAAAGGCTTGTTCTTTTCTTTGGTCTCCTCCCCCCCCCCCCCGAAAGAGGTCCATTTACATTGATACTGAGTATTTTAATGTGTGAAGTAATACAGCAAACTGAAATGCCAAGATGTTGTGTTGTAAATTCATCACTCCCTAAGCCAGCTGCTTCTTGTCAGAAAAGAGAAGTTCCTTTTAAGTGTCTTTTGAGACTGATATAAAACAAGTTATATGACAAGACTGTTTGTACTGTATGTCATCAGGTATTTCTTAAAGCATAAATTATGACTGATTTGTTTTAATGGAAAAAAGAGTTATTTCAGACAAGCAATCCAGTGAATAGTAATTCTACTTCTGATGTTTCAGAAATGAGAAATGACTCCCCCAGTGGTACTTCCAGTAAAAGTAGACAGATAATTTCACACACCTCAACATGCAAATTTCCAACACTTAAACTCAAAAAACACTTTGAATTGGCAGTAGCTTACGCATTTAAATCCCTTTTGAAATTAAATATTTAAAATGTTGTTCCCCAATATTCTTTCAAATATATTTCTAATCCATACTTGATTTATTTTTGCAGAAGCCTTAATTTAATCAAACTGATAGGATATTTGGCCCTGTTCCTTCATAGGACAGCACACAAATTCTACAGTGGTTCTATCAAAAGTTAAGTCATGAAATTTCATTAAAATGTGTAGTTAATAAGGTCCTTGTAGCTAATAAAGTTCTTATTAATTTTATTCGGTATTTAGTCTCAGAAAGACCTTTAATTTTATAATCTTCTATCTTTAAAATGATTTGTATTATTCTGGTTTGTGTATCTTTGAATGTTACAATAAATTATATTTCAATAAAATATTGAGTTCAAGAAGCATTTGGACAATGCTCTCAGGCACATGCTGTGATTCTTGGGGCTGTCCCTTCAATGATCCTTCTGGTCCCTTCCAACTCAGAATATTCTGTGATTCTGTAGTTTCTGTCATTTGTGACTATTTGTCAGTTGTGTAGTTTCGTGACATTTTGTAACTGTTCTCCTCATTAGTCCTCTTTGCTTTCTTATCAGTATGTTATTACTTAATAAAACATCTCAGAATATTTTCGTAAAATTAAATGAATTTTTTTTCTTGATATATTTGCATAATTTTGCCAAAACACAGGTAAAAATGCTGCAATTATATGGCTGTCACACAGTGCTTGATTGCTTCTTCTCATGGCAAACACAGTTAAAAATAAAGACGGAAAGTCTTTATTCTGTCTCTGCAGAATTCATTTCCACAGAATGGTAAGACCACATTTATTTAAACTATGGAGGAGGAGGTCGGTGCCCACAACATGCTCATGGTCCTTAACTCCCAGACATACAACTGAACAGAAAGTAGCACTGGCCTGACGAACACAAGCTCACCTGTTGTGGAGTCAAAATGCCACAAAAGCACACACCTGGAGGTGCTTCTGGGTCCTGAAGGTTAGACATGTAAACATGGAACAAATAAAAGAGCTGGGGAGGGAACAGCATGCTCGACTTTCTTTTGGTCATCTGCTGTTGCCCGTCTTCCTTTCTGTCTGCTTCACAAAACAGTTGCACAGTCTTCACAAAATTTGTGAGAAGGTGCCAGCTATGAGTTTGAAACTATCTGTGCATTTCCTATCTCCATGGGATGCTTTAGTCTTCAAGGACAACTGAGCCCATTCTTCCATGAGTGTATTGAAATACAGGGTAATTATGCACCAAATTACCCTCTCCCTCTTCTTTCACATAGAGTCTGCATTGCTGTACGTTTTTTAGGTGACCATTAAAATGAAATAAAGAAAATATCTAACCAACTAATGTTTGGTTATCATGATGTTTGAAATAGTCACAAGAACTACCATTATTGAAGATAAGAAAAAGAAAAGTCTTCCCAGTCATGGAAATCTTTGGGTTTGGGATAAGTAGATCCCAAGCAGCAACTAAGCACTTGTGGGCTGCTTGCTTACTATACCCCTACAGCCACAGCAGAATAGGGGAAATAATTACAAAAACAGAAGTGAGAAAATAAGTGGCTCAAAATGAAGACTGCTTAATAAATGAAGGAAGGAAAAGTTTAAAAAATCCCCAAGTGATGCAAAGGCAATCACTCAGCACCTTCCACCAGCCTAGCCAGTCCCCAAGCAACATCTGCCTTGGGAGATCACCCCCCAGCGTTATTGCTGAGCCTGATGTTATATGGCATAAAATACCCCTTTGGTCAGTTGAGGTCAGCTCTCCCAGCTGTGTCCCCTTCTCAGCCTCCTGCCCACCCTCAGGCCTACTCTCTGGCAGGGCAGCATAGCAAACGGCCTTGACATTGTGCAACCACTGCTTAGCAATAACATTATCAACACTATTTCGATCACAAACCTACAACATGGCAACCCACAAGCTGCTAGGAAAAAAACTATCTGCACCCCAGGTAGACCCAGCACAAGGTTAAAACCAAATCTTTGCCTTTACTATTTACATCCATCTCTTACATTTATAGCACCAGTCTGGCACTGTTGTGCCAGGCTCTATTTAGAGAAATAAAGGTCCATGATGAAGTTTAGGAAGCAGGTGACTTGCTTGTACCAAAATTCTTTTTCCTTCCTTCCTTCCTTCCTTCCTTCCCTGCCAGTGTAAGCCTCTACTAACCACTGTAAGCCTGAGACATCCATTGGCCAGAATTGGTGGAGTGTCAGTCAGTCACCAAGTTCAGCGAGATTTCTTCTGTCTGTGGAGATACCAGTCAGTATAAATGATTCTTCACTTGTCAGCACAGTTACTTTCCAGGGAAGGTGATTATAAATCTCTATAAATTTTCTATAGGAGTGTCAAAAGTGGAACGAGACACCTTCACACGTGGCTTTCCTATGCCTAAAAATGACCTACCAGCTCTTCTGTTATGATGGTACACATTTGTCATAGTGTGATGGCAGGACCTCTTTGTGCTATGATCTCAATAGATTGATATGGCTTATAAAAATAGAACTAAATTTATACTTGCAGTGCAATGTTGTAAAAAATCTGGGGAGAAAGCAATGAGATTTGTGATTATAAGGAATCACAGGCAAGATATGTTAGCAGCTGTAATTTCTTTACCTATTATTACCTGACTCTGAGGCCTGGAAATGATTAGATTTTCTTGTTTTCTGTCACTTCAGCAATTACTGATAGCAATTAAGCTGCATTTCAAGTAGAAAATGTTTTTTTTGATTTCAGAATTCAGCAAATATTAGAATGAATTATTATTCTGAGAATAGCACAGTTCTCGATACAGCACAGTGTTCTCCATCACCAACCCAGAGCTGACAACAGCTGATCACCCCTCCAGCCCCTTGACATGGCTGTGGCTGATGTTCTGCCCATGGGGCTCGAGAGAGGTTTGCCTGTGCCTCGCTCTAAGTCGTGTGTGGTTTTATCTGTTTCTCCCCAAAACAGAAGGCTTTTTCAACTTTTTTTTCTTCCCCCCCCCCCCCCCTTGAGTGCACTGAAAATAGGCAGTGGCACAGGATCAAGAGAAAAAAAAAACAAAACACAAAATGCAGGCGTGAATATGGCAACTTGTATATTTTAGACAGACTGTAAACGTTTATTAGTTTTCAGAAATAGCGTTCTTTGGGTGAGAAAGTAGCCTTCCCCTTTAGTCTGCAAAAATAACTGATTACTTTTTTTCCATCACTGCCCCGGGCCCATCAGCATTAACCACTTAAAAGTTTCCCTCAAAGAAGTGTCACCACCACTTCGGAGTCGGGATAAACTGTGAAGAAATGGATTATATGCAAGTGTCACGGCGAAATTGTTCCCCGAGGACTTCTGGGAATTCACATTAAACGAGCAACGCTTGAAGCCGTTGCCCAGGGACAACTGGGAAAGGGGGGGGGAAGGCGGCGCGGGGGCGGCGGGCTCAGGCTCCCTCAGGCTCCCTCAGGCGGGCCCTGCCCGGGCCGCCGCCGTCTCCCGGCAACCGGCGGAACAGCGGCGCGGGCGGCGCGGCGCGATCGCCCCCGGGCGGCGCGGGGAGCCCGGGCAGGGCGGGCGCTCCGGCCCCGCCGCTGCGGATCTCGGGGGTCTCTGGCGCTGAGGGGAGGTGGGCGAAGGGCGCAGGCACCGCGAGGGCGGAGGGGCTGAGGCGCTGAAATCACCGTGTGCGGCCTCGGGTGGCGGCGGCGGCGGGCGGGAGGTGTGTTATAGCGGCCGGTGCCCTCGGGCCGTGCCCGGCAGGTCTGGCTCCCCGGCGCTGGTCAGTGAGCTGAGGGCCACGTGTCTGTAGACCTTCAGAAATAGTAAGTTAAAGCTTAAAAAGCATCATTATTTTATGCTAGTAGCGTCTTTCCAGTACCTGAAGGGAACTTGCAGGAAAGGTGGGTCAAGACTATTTACAAGAGCGTATAGCGACAGGACAAGAGGGAATGGGTTCAAATTGAAAAAGAGTAGGCGCAGATGGATATTAGGAAAAGATTCTTTACTGTGAGGATAGTAAGTTGTGGATGCCCCATCTCTCGAAGTGTTCAAGACCAGGCTCTGGATGGGGCTTTGAGCAACCTGGTCCAGTGGAAGGTGTCCCTGCCCACGGCAGGCGGGTTGGAACGAGATGATCTTTTAGGTCCCTTCCAACCAAAACCACTCTTATGATTCTTAAAGGCATACATTGAACTTTCTCCAGCCACAACCAAAAAAACCCTAAAAATTTACAGTCAGCTTGATAAGGGCATATATGCCTTTAAGAAAAGTAGTGACAATTGCAAGATTTATATTAAAATTGTGAGGTTTAATAACAATTGCAGTGTATTGAACAGAAATAAAATTTAAAACCAGATGGTACATGTCCTACACTGGAGGCTCCTGACACTATTTCATACTAGAAACTGGGAGTTTAGGAATTGGTGGAAGCAAAGGTAGGGAACGACAGGGGTGGACATGTTAAGCAGAGGATAACTGCAACCAGTATTTTTACGTGTGAAGTGGGAAGCAAGAAACTGCAGTGGACCTGCCCTAAGAAAACTTAAATCGTAGAGTTAAAAAGAATATTTTTAAAATGTGGATAGGTAAGAATAGTTCACTTCAGGTGAGACATGTAGAATTTTTGTGACAGGAACATGAAAGGTATGGAACTTAAAATTGTATGGATGATAGATGAGAAGAAAAATAATTGAATAGAAAAGTTTTCTCCTAAAGAACACTAACACATGATGAGGTTATTAGGGTGAAAATCTTACCTGATTTATTGGTATTTCAAAGGTTTTAGGACATCTTTAGACAGGAATTTCAAAATAAAGTATGAATTTGCTGTAGAGAAGCATCGTCTTTTATAATCTTATTGCTAATCTGAAATTATAATCTATATTAGATAATCTGATATCTTGTATGCAAGATAAACACATGCTTTCTATTGTTTATTGACTGGTAGCAAGCTTACTTCACATTTGTTGTTGGAAGCAACAATTCCTTTTTTTAATTTCCTTTCATTTTTGTGATTTTTATCGTGTTGCCATTTTCTGATTTTCTAATATTCCTCTAACACAGTGAATGCCAAGATGGGCTTATATATCCTTTAGCACTACTTTTGTGCTACCTGGATTTTTGTCCTAAATTGTAATAGATTTTTTTTTTTTAAATTTTTTTAACTGTTAACATAATAAAGCCTGGTAAACAAGGCATTTAAAATTAAATTATAGGACTACCCTTGCAGATATAACCCTAAAAATCATGAATGTGATAGCAACACAGCTGAGGTGTATCCAGTGCTGACAAAGAAGTAGGAGTACAGTTTTGTCCAAGACAGGAGAAGCTTCATCGGGGATGCTGTGTTCAGCTGAGGTCATCCATGTTTTCAAGAGGTTGACTTAAAAAGGGCTTATGAGGATGGTGTGGGAAACGAAGAATCATTTTTTGGAGGAAATTAGAAGAATTCTTTAAGCTAACAAAATGAGTGGGGACAGGTTTGTTATCTTCAGATAGAGGAGGAGCATGATCAGAGCTGCAGTCCCTGTCCTGTGCAGACAGGCTGAGAGAGATAGGTGGTGTTTTTCAGCCTGGAGAAGCCACAGCTCTGGGGAGACATTGTAATACCTTCCGGTACCTAGAAGGGGCCCACAAGAAAGCTTGAGAGGGACTGTTTGCAAGGGTGCGTAGGGATAGGACAAAGGGGAATGACTTTAAACTGAAAGTAGGTTTGAATTAGACAGTTACTCAGAGTGGTGAGGCACTGGAATGGGGTTGCCCAGAGAAGTTGTGGATCCATCCCTGGAAGTGTTCAAGGCCAGGTTGGATAGAGCTTTGAGCAACATGGTCTAGTTGAAGGTGTCCCTGCCCACAGCAGAGGGCTTGGAACTGCATGATCTTTAAGGCCCCTTCCAACCCAAACTGTTCTATGATTCTAAATGTATTCTGATTCTCTGTATGTAAATATATATGGAATTTATATAATATACTATGTAGTATGTATAGAATATGGTAAATATATATTGTATAGTATAAATATTTACTGTACATTTCATTCATGCCAGCAAATAAAGTAACTGACAGATGTTCAGACATGACACAAACACAGTAAACTGTAGACAAAAGTTAAAAAATGGTCCCTGACCTTGTGGAACAACTTTTTAACAGGAGAGGTGGAAACAAAATATCTAGCAGTTTTTAAGATACAGTGTGATAGGTATCTGGTGGGATTAAAGTGATGCAGTGGCTGTGATGGCGGAGGGGCATGGATCTGATCATTCAGAATGTCCCTTTCACCGAATGTCCCTGTGAAACTGCCAGGAGAAGGCATTCTTTTTAAGACATGTAGACTGGCATGGCTGGCTAAAAACTTAGGAGCGTCTTCAATTTTTTTACTTTACTTAGTCTTTCTTCCTAAGTCAGACCATCTTTGCCTCTTGTATGAGAAGTGTCCTGCTGTTTTTGCTCAGACGGTGGTTGTAACTACTGTAACTACTGTATCTCATTTGTTTTAGGTCAATTTTTCTTTAGTCTCTTTTTCATGGAATGAGGGATTTCACTATGTGTCTCAGTCAGACATTTAAAATCACACATACTTTCTAAAAATCACCTTCATTCAGGTTATAACAGCTTAGATTTTCCAGAGGTAGATCTTAAGTCTCATATTATTTAATATGTGAACAATAATATAGCAAAATCAAAATTTTCTAGTGAGATAAAATAATTTTGTTATGACTAAAGAAGACTGCTAGAAGCTTCTGAGAGCTCTTCTGCAGTTAGGTGAACTGGTAACAGCATGACAGATAAAACTGATTGTTGATGAAAGCAGTGTAATTTATAATGTCAGGAATACTTAGAGCACTATATTCTCTTTAATAGTGAACCTAAATTAATTGTGATCAGCTGGGAAAATGACCTGTTTACCGTATGAGGATAGCTTAGTGAAAATCTTCACTGAGGAAATTGGGTAAAAATAAATACCCTGAAAGTTATAAAGTCACTCAAATAAGTCAGTAGTGTTCTAGAATTGATTATGGTATTTTAGGTTGAGTATATCATATCTGAGAAAGATTTAACAGTCACAGAGGGACTCTGAGACAAGAAATATAAATGTCTGGAAAAGCTATATGGAAAAAATAATTAAGGTGGCTTAGAAAGGTGATAAATCAGAGTATGCAGTGAGTTATAAAAGAAGTAAAAAAGATCAAGTCAGGGCACCTCTTACCTAAAGGTGTAATACAAGAATGAGGGGTTGAATTGAATAACACATTTAAACTATTTACATTTTTTTTAAATCTAAGGCGTAATTCCTTGTATGGTGCCCTTGACAATTGGACCTGTGCTGTAGCATTTCAGACTAAGAAAGAAGAGTGAAAGGACTAAGTGTTCATGTGGACAGTAAAAATAGCTACTATTGTTAGGAAGAACATAAAAAGTTTAGGAAATCTAAACCTTGGTAATTTAGGGAAATAGAAACCCTGTAACAAATGGAGGAAATCTGACTTTTGGGATAGTTTCAAGCAATTATCAGCATTTGGCTGTTGCCATTCTGGAGGCTGAATACTGATCATCCATGGAAGACTGCTCTTATTCATTGAAGGAGCTTTCTTGTGCTGGGACCTCTTAGTTATTGTGTGATTTGGAAAGAATGCTATCATGTCCTTTAATTCCTATTAATTGTTTTTACGAACAATCATGCATCATCTTTTACACCGTACAAATTGGAAAATACATTCTGCCTCTACAGCTTAGGATTTCAACATGATTGGAACGCTCCTGACTCTTGCTAGGTGTACCAAGCTGTTCACTTTCAGAAAACAGTGAACTATGGCCCTTGGGCAGTATGGAAAAACTATCTATCAATCTGAGGCTGTACATGACTCATGAGTCAAATTTTTTAGTGCAAATTTAGCATATTTTCACAGCATCAGATTGTAGAATCAAATAGCTGAGAAGCTTGGCTTTTGTTAAAAACCTTAGCATCTATCCTTGGGCTTTTGAAAGTAACACTCAGCTGAATGTTAATGTGATATCAGAATGCAAATAAGAAGTGTAATTGTATCTTAAAAGTTCTGAGATTTTAAATAAATAATTGTATTATCTTTTAACTTGCCTAAAATCACCACCTTTTCTCTCTCATAGCTATTTTCTCAACCTGGCATCTAACTACAAATTTATTTTGGTTTTAAGACTTTGTCTGCAGGGTACTCCACTCTGCATCTCTCAGTATTTTTAATGATTCTTTCATTTTGTGTGTGTGTAATGTAAAAATGCATAGATCATTGGAAAAAATTGGAATCTTTAATGGAACTCTCAGAATGATCAGAGTACATTTAGTCTTTTTTTTTTTTCCTGCAATGGGATGAACTTTGTCCAGTTGAATCAAAATATTGTCTTGTATCTAGGATCACACTCTAGGTAAGTTTGGTTAGTTAACGTCTCTTGCATGGTAGCTAAATCTTGACCTAATCCTCACAGCATCATTCATAGAATGAGTCAAGTTGGAATGACCACAGTGGGTCATCTGGTCCAACCCCAGAGCACATTGCACAGGATTGTGTACAGATGGTTCTTTGATCTCTCCAGTGAAGAGCAGTCCACAACATCTCTGGACAATCTGTTCTGGTGTGTGGTCACCTGCACAGTAAAGAAGTTCTTCCTCATGTTCAGGTGGAACTTCCTGATCATTTTTTGCCTAATACACACACTGGACGAATTCAAAGGTCTTGACTTAATTGGTCTCTCATGTATACATATGTTTCATATGCCATATATATATATATATATATGTTCAGGAACTGAATATTAAATTGAATCTACCATCTCTTTTTAACTCTCTTCTTCTATGAAGCCAAGTTTTTCAGTAGTGTTTTAATGCTTTCACTGTCTTTACAACATGGCAAAGAGAGTCTGTTGATCCATACTTAAGGAGCTGGACAGAAAAAAGATGGAAGAAGAATGTGGGAGAAAGAAAGGAGTTTCAAGATTATTCCACATTGTTCTCTTAATTAAGACAGAGCTGTCTGAGAATGGTGATGAGTATATTTAAGATGGCATACAAAGGACATACTAGTTTATGGACTCAAAAAAGGAGTGAGATTGTCTGCTGATGATATGATTATCTCTTGATTACATTGGAAGGCAGCAGAACTAAAGTGTCCATACAGAAATCAATTGAAATAATCAATGACAATGACCCATTTATAAGGCAATTTCCACTGTTATCACAAAAAAAATAGCTTCTATGAGACAAAACTAAACAGCCAAACTTCAGTTGAACTAGCTCGACTAAATTGATATGTAATTGTTACTTGGAAGGCAAAAAGAATCTCATGCATCGTTTTTGTGAAGAACCTGAAAATCGTGGCCAAGTTGTAGTAACACAGCTTCAGATTGTCTTAAAGCATAGGACATTTAATCTGAAAAGTGGATCATGTAATAAATGACTTGTTAGAAACTATTCTTAAATCCTTCTCTTTGCACTGCTTTTCCACAGGGGTAATTGCTCTCAGAAGAGACCTTTGGTTCCTTGACTAAGAGGTAAGTTCCATAGCTGGCTGTACCTTTGACCTGTTCCTGTTCTTTGTCTCAGGTCTCACAGTATGTGCAGAGTTCTAGGGTTTTATGTCTGTTATTTAAGGATTTAAAACAGAAAGAAGCAAATGGAACAGGTAGTGCTTTCTGAATGGATTGTCTGACTTAAAACTATAATATATTATGGTCTTGAGGTGTATGCAACAGGACTCTGATAATACAGATATGTACTCCATACTGTAAAGGAATATTAAAAGATTTCAGTATTTTAAACAGAAAAACAACGAGAAGACTTTCCTCATATTTCAAAGTGTGGTTTATAGATTCTTTTCTTGTTGAAGCTCACTTGCTAGCCATCATCTTGTGTTTAAAAAAAAAAGTGTAGTGGTTAGAAATAAGTGCATATCTCAGATTTGAATCTAAGAAACTATTCACACTGAGCAGAGAGGTTCTTAGAGCAGGACAATAAAATGAAGTAAGTACAGAGATCATGGCTGTAATTATCTTACGATCTAGTACTTGGAATCTGCTCCTCTAAGCAGGCATCTGCAGCAACTCTCAAAAACTAAATAAATTGTCCTTATTTTATTTGACATGATAGAGATGACAGTTCCTGATATAATAGTCAAGAGGTTAGAGGATTCCACTTCTGAACTAAAAAATCTGTATTTCTGAACTTCCTCAAAATCCTTTTCCACTTACAGGCAAAATGTTCTGGTTATAGAGATGTTACTGGAGATGAGCCTGTTCCTTCAACCACTTTAAGAAAGACAAGGTAGCTGTGTTTTGGGGTATGTCTAGTTCTGCTAATGGTTAGACTGCTGCAATGGTATCTGTTAGACCTAGCCTGGCATGTGGATTTATGTGGAGAAACGGGGAAATAAGCTTAGCTCACACATTTCAGATGTCAGTATAAATGTAAATATATGAACCAACAACTCTAGACTTTGGTTTTGGTCCAAGAAAAAAAATAGTTATTTTTAAGGTGCAGTTCCATTTTAGATACCTACTTAGGATGAATCTGCCATAAGAGGTATTCAATATGTTGACTAGATCTCCATCAGTTATCGAGGACAGTGACTGACTTTAGTACTGATGCCTAATATAGTTTAGTGGACACTACTAATAGTTTACAGATACTGGTTCAACTTAAGATACACTGGAGTAGTTCTGGTCCTGTGGGAAAGCTGGAGATTCTAATGAAGTTTAGAGTGAGACAGGGAAGTACCTGCTGAGCTTAGGCATTGAGAATAGCCAGAGCTGAGCGAGAGTGTTGAGGATTGTGGGTTTAGAATGAGGATTTAGGTAGACCTAATGACTGTCCTGCTGGCTGAGAGAAAACACCCGATTAGACCACTGCACTGAAACTGGGTTGGAGGGAGGTAAAGCAGGCTAGTTTATCTGTCATTGATAGCAATAAATTCCAGGTGAAGGACAGGAAGTAGCATAGAATGATAACTTCATAGATTGCTTGACTATGCATTGCCTGCATCTGTTAGGTCAAAGTACTTTATTACTTCTAGCTCTACATGATTTACAACAATCAACTCTTTAATCTCAAAAAACATATGTGGAAAAAGTATGCTTCTATGATTCTAGAAATGTGCAAGACATGAAGTAGAGGATATTACTCAAATGAGAATATTCTTTATTTTTTCTTTAAGATTTAGAAATATAGAATTGGTTAGGGTGGAAAAGATCTTTAAGATAATTGACTCCAACTCTTAACCTAACACTGCCACGCCCACCACTAAAACACGTCCCTAAGTGTCACATCTACATGTTTTTTAAATACCTCCAGGGTTGGTGACTGAAGCTCTTCCCTGGGAAGCCTGTTCTAATGCTTTACAACCCTTTTGGTGAAGAATTTTTTCCTAATATCCAATCTAAATCACCCTTGGTATAGCTTGAGGTAATTTCCTCTTGTCCTATTGCTTGTTACCTGGAAGAAGAGACCGACCCCCAACTCACTACACCCTCCTTTCAGGTAGTTGTAGAGAGCAATAAGGTCTCCCTTGGTCCTCCTCTTCTTCAATTTAAACAACCCCAGCTCCCTCAGCTGCTCCTCATCAGATTTGTGCTCCAGACTCTTCACCAGCTTCATTTCCCTTCCCAGGACACGCTCCAGCACCTCAATGTCCTTCTTGTAGTGAGAGGACGAAAACTGAAGCCAGGATTCAGGGTGCAGCTTCAGCAGTGCCCAGTACAGGGGCACAATCATTTCCCTGGTCCTGCTGGCCACACTGTTGCTGATACAGGCCAGGATGCCACTGGCCTTCTTGGCCCCTGGGCACTGCTGGCTCATGTTCAGCTGCTGTTGACCAGCACCCCCAGGTGCTTTTCTGCTGGGCAGCTTTCCAGCCACTCTTCTCCCAGCCTGTAGAGTTGCACAGGGTTGTTGTGACCCAAGGGCAGGACCCGGCACTTGGCCTTGTTGAACCTCCTACCATTGGCCTCTTCCCGTAATCCAGCCTGTCCCAATCTCTCTGCAGAGCCTTTCTACCTTCCAGTAGATCAACAGTCCCACCCAACTTGGTGTATGTGTACTGTAAACCTGCTGAGAAAAAGACAACATGCAGCTATCATGGACAGAAAGGGATTTGAATAAAGAAGTTTTTTTATAGTTCAGTAGCCTTTCAATACCTGTACACATTGATTGGCTGTGATAATGAAAGTTAAATGCAGAAGACATATTTTTAATTATCAGTAAGCCAAAGAATTCCAAGTACATCATTCCCTCAAATCAGAGAGTGATCACTGAGATCTTTATGGGAACAAAGATCGTACCAACATTTGATGGCAGAATGCATTGAAATCCGGACTAGTACCTGCTGCAAAGAAACAGACTGAGGGGCATAACCCACATAGTAGTTGTGCTGGTCTCTCTGCTTATTGCTACAGGTCATACTGCTTTTTTAAAGTTAAAGGAACTAAATATTTTGAAACTAAGAAAAATGTAAAAGTTTCTTAAAAATATGCTCAGAAGTTGGATGTATTTATACAGAATGAAGAAGTACTTGCAATTAAATGCTTTAGTTATTCTTGGTCTTGAAATATTTATAATTTGAATCTGAGAACATTAATTATACAACATTATAAATACTTTTACATTAATTAACTTTTAAAATTGTTTGGTTTAAACCTAATTAAACTCATTCAGAATTAAAATTGCCTCATGACTTTAGCTTAATTTATACCTGAAATGAATCGAGTTGAACTGAATAATTCTAAATAAGAGTCCATATCTCCATACCAGGATTTAGCACAATTTAAATAACCCAGATTTCCTGAATGTCCTTGTAAATCTGATTCTTGTATGTGTGCAGGATTCTTACTTTCTACAGTGACTGCATAAATCAGAAGGTAGTATGTCCATCATGTTTGTTGAATATACTGTCAGTAATTTGTCCTTATGCTTTTTCTTATGTAAGTTAACTTATCCCTAGCCAAAGTAGCATTTTCTGAAACACTGAATTTGTGTGTGTGTGTTCATATGTGTGTATGTACAGATGCACAAGGGTAAAGCAGATTGGAGCTGAAGAATCTTTGATTGTGTGGATTTTCCTCTCAAAACTGTAATTAGTGACCTGCCTTTGAAGTTTTAAACTTCAGATCCATTTTTAGGATGTGATTATGAACTGGTTTCACTACTGCTGTGTTACAGTTTATTTGTAGAGACCACTAGAGGAACAATACCTGGAAAAAAATCAGAGGATTCAAGAAGAGCTCTAAATTTTTGTTGAACACAACAAACAATAGCCTTGACTTTTGTGACCAGCCAGGCTACAGCTCATATTGCAATAAAAAATAATCTCTTATACCACAGGGAAGCTGTCAGGATAGTCCTGGCTGAGGGTGAATGTGTGGTTTTACTTTGAGAACCAACAGAGGAGTTAACAAGGGGTACTAACAGTGCACATTTCACTTTTACGCAGTGTTAAAACAAACTGAAGTTTGGCATAACTTGGGTTATGTTCTATGGATAGTTAGTGCTGGTGGCTCATGTTGCCCTTTACTTTTGCCTGTACCTTAACTGGAAGGCTCTCCTGAAGTTTTTGAAGCCACACAAAATTAGGTCCACATGAGGTATTACATCCATATGCTTTAGAAGCTACTATTAGATGCAGTCGAGGAGGTCTTCCTGGTTCATGTGCACATGTGCTAATGCCAGAAAAAAAAAAAAAGGCAGAAGACAGAAGCTGGACTTGGTGAAAATAGATGTAACTTTTTTAAATCAGTGAAATTTGTACTGTAAAGAACTGTTTCTTAATACCTGCAGACCTGATTTTTGTCTTTTGTGAAATATTAACAGAGAATTCAAATTGTATTTGAACCATGTTTTTGGGGTAGAATTTATTTGTGCATTCTACATTTGTATGGAATGTTTGCTAACACAGAATGTGTAGACAAACATGGGGAAATATCCTAAAAGGACTTTCAAGTTCATATATGATTTATAGATGCAAATAAAACTAACTTAGAGAAAAGGATGTTCTATGTATTTGTACCACATTACAACTTGAGCCTGTGATGTCTCAAACCTTTCTTTTGATCTATGTATTTTGTTGACAGATGTATTTTACCAAATGTGTTCAAGTGTTAGAAAAAGGGACAAATTTTGTATAGAAACTACTATGTCAAAAAAATCTTCAGACTAATTAGGTGGGGTCAAATGAATGAGAAAGTCTGTCTTATAAGCTTTTCTAAATCAATGGTAAACTGGTTCCTAAAACACAGAAGGGAATTTGTTTGTCTGCTTTTATTTGTTTGTTTGTTTGTTTTTAGAATGGGTAAAAAAGTAAAGAAGGAAGCAGAGCCTCCACCCAAGGATGTGGTAAGTTTATAAACTGCTATGTGCTATAAAATAAACATTACACAGTTACAGGCCCAGCTCTACAGTCCTTATGTAGTTCCTTATTCTCCTAACTTACCCACATTATTCTAAAAATGGCTTTTAAAGATGACTCTGTTTCTGCTTTTCTTGGACAGCATACAAACCAGAGTGACTGGGCATGTGTAGTTCTTTGTAGAGATTGTTGTCTTTGGCAGGCTTTGCAAACAGTAATGTATGAAACAATCCAGGCTTCTTTTTATTTAAGAACAGTGTTAGCTTTCTCTCTGTAAAAATCAAAGGAGAAAGGAGAAGAGCAACCTGAAATCTGCCTGTCTTTTCAACTGTGAAGACATTCTCTTTCTTTAAGGGTGAAAGAGTTAAGAGCCTAGATGGATCTGCAGTTTTATACAAATACAAAATTTGACAGATATTTTGAATGCTAGTATTATATACTCTGGATCTTTTGCAAAGATACACAGTCTTTTTGGTATCATTGGAAGTACAAGAGCTGAAGCTAAATATAGAATCATGGTGATAATGTGATTTTTTTTCAAAAGGTGGAGGTTAAGGGTCTGACACAAGCACACTTTTCAAGGGCTTCTATAAATTCACAAGGTACGAAGAAACCCCCCAAAAGATAGATAAGCAAAATACAGGAAATTTTAAAGCTTAAATGTTTTATTCAGAAAGAAGTAGAGGAAATACAGAAACCTTGAAAATAGTATAATATAAATTCTGTGCCAGATAATAACCAAATTAATGAAAATAGGGACCTCAATGAGTTCCACAGAGGAACATGAAACTAAATGCAAAGTTCAGTACACTGTTTTAAAAAAAACAATGGGTTTGTCTGTAAAGAGGGGTAGTACTGCAAGAGCTTTTTCAAAGCTCATGGATCACAGACAAGTTGATCAGCAAAAACTACATTACAATTTCAAAATTAAATAAGCATAAATAATTTTGACTAAGTAATATCCAATAGCCATGATGCTGAGGCATAGGAATTGATACCAGGTTTGGCCCAACTGCTATGTGGAAAGGTGAATATTACAAATGTAATTCATAAGCTCCAATCAATAACAAATCCTTATGAAAAGAGATGACATAAAACTTCAACATAACCTGGGTCTGTATAAAAAAACCAGGAGGAGTCACAAAGACAGTGAATGTGGATAAGACTAATTAAAACAGGCCTGAAGAGTAAAACTAAGTATCTTTGCAGTCTAAGAAAAAATTCGAAAGGCATGACAGTACATTTAAGCCATACAGATAAGCTAAAGTAATAAAAGTTGACCTTTTCAGTAAATAGCTAAAATCAGTAGATGCAGCACTACAATTTCTGTATCCAAAACATACCATTAGATTTTCTGGAGAAAACTGTGATACAGCCTAGTAGGTACTACAATAGGCTGTGAATAATGTCAGAAAAGATATTCAATAATTAAAAAAATCCAACTTAGAGAAAAAGTTGATAAAACTATCAAAAAGGAAAGAACTGGAAAGAGTGAATTCTGAAGCTTTTGGCTTAGTTTTTCCCCTTATTATACTTCAGGTTAGCATATCTCTTCTATCAGTCCTAGCAGGAGAAAAAAAACCTGAATGTTGCATAACAAAACAGTATTAAACATGAAAATAGATAATTGATTAATTGTAACTATCAACCAAGAAAATCTTATAGCTATGAGAATGTTGTTAATAATGATTGTTTAAAATCAAATCTCAAAACTTGAAATTTCACCTGGATATTTCAGGTGGCAGGAAATGAGATGCAGACAAAATAAAAAGACGTATTAGCCATTATCTTCTGATTGATAATCTGTTTATGAAAATGTCAAGTCTAAGAAAAGAAGCCTTGAGATAATGTAGGCAGGCTTATAAAGAGGGCCTTTGTGCACGTGGAATGCTCTGAGAATATATGGTACTGCAGATGACCACTAATTTTTTATAGATTTCCAGAAACAGGTGGGAAACACATCTCTTAGCCTAGCCTCTGTTTTAGAAAATGTTCCTGAGGATTCTGTTTTCACAGCCTTGCATAATTTGTCTTTTACTATTCTCTGTTATGAGAATTGGTCTCCTACAGGAAAAATATTGCTTTGAGCCTCTATCTCTATATGAATGACCTAAGTCAGTAATTCAGGCAGATAAAATACTTGACACAGATTGACAGGAACTTTTCATATGATGTCTAGATTAAGTTTGGTCCAGACAATATTACTATTTGATCATCAGGTAGGGCACAGACATTGAAAGGAGACCTAAGATTACCACTAGAGAAATAGTGAGGCGCTGTCACTTAAAGAAAGCAATAGATACCTGAGTATTTTTGAAAATAGCTTCGTTCACAGCTCTGATGTTAACAAAACGTGGAACGTATGAAGTGGCACAGTCAGCTCCTGAAATCGTCTCCACAGAAACCCCTTCTTTTGATTAATGCCTAAATATTAGTTTGACTTGACTTTAGTAAGGCTTTCAATACTCTCATAACATCCTCATAGGCAAGCTAGTGAAGTCTCGACAAGAGAAACAGAGAGTGTAAATGGATTGAAAAGTAGCTGAACTGACAGGCTCAAAGCGTTGCAGCATGGGGTCCTGTTGGAGGTCAGGCACTCTTGTTGTGCTCCAGGGCTTGATCCTGGGGCTGATACTGTTTAACCTCTTCATTTGTGACCTGAATGATGGGACAGAGTGCACCCTCAGCAAGTTTGCAGGTGATACAAAATTGAGAGGACTGATAGGCAGACCAGATGGTTGTGCGGCCGTTCAGAGGGACCTCAACAAACTAGAGAAATGGGAAATTGGGAATTTAATTAAGTTCAGTAAAGGGAAATGCCAAATCCTGCACCTGGGGGAAGAATATCCGGTACAGTCTGGGGGATGACCAGATGGAAAGCAGCTTTACAGGAAAGGACCTGGTGATTCTGTTCTCGGTTCTGTGGTACAAGTGAGACAAAGCCTTACTGGAACAAATCTGCCAAAGTCTTGGAGCATTTGTCATTTGACATTTGAGACTGTTCAGTCTTGAGAGAAGGCTTGGAGAGAGGGGTCTTGGCAGTGTCACCTGACAGGAGGAAGTAAAGAAATCAAGCCAGGCTCTTCTCAGTGGTGCCCAGTGGAAAGATGAGAGGCAATGGAAACAAACATAAATACAGGAGGTTCCATTGAAGCGTAAGAAAAAAAACACCCTCTTTTACTGTAAGAATGATGGAACATGGCACAGGTTGTCCAGAGAGCTTGTGGAGTCTCCATCTTTGGAGACACTCAAAGTCAGACTGTGTACCAGCCCTGAGCTCCAGCTTTCCCTGCTCTGAACAGGGCAGTTGGATCAGATCAGGTCTCCAGAAGTGCCTTCTAACATCAACTACTTGTGATTCAGTGGAATATCTTGGGGTTATATTGTTAAAACAGGAGATCAGGCAATCACAAAACTGAAACAATTAGCATGTCCAGGTATCTTTTAACTCTGTTTTTCTAGGTAAAGGAAAAGGGATTAAGAATATCAAAGATATCAATAGTGCTTCTAAAAATTCTATGAAAGGTGCGATGCTAAACCTGACCTTAAATCAAATTTAAGTGATTTTTAAAAAGACAATTACAGCATGATTAAACAAGAAAATAATAGCAGATAAATGCATCTTTCATAAGGTGGGATTTGCATTCAAATGGAAAAACAAAAAAACCCTTGCCCTCCCAAATGAGTAGTAAAAGCACAATGTCACCCTGCATCAAAATATTTTGGGAGAGAACTAGCAAAGATACCAAATTAGGAGTAAAGCTTTTCCAAATTTACTAGATGCAAGAAACTTCTTAGAGGGACTTTATTAGGTGATTAAAGTCATGAAGGAAAAGCAAAAATTGTTTTTTTTTTTTTGTCAAAAGCCAAAGCACCAAAATAAATGTGATAAAATTGCCCCAATAGAAATAAATAGTATTTGCCCAGGTCTTGTGCTAAATGAAAAATAATTAAAATCTGAAAATGTGGTACTGCTACATGTAGTATTTAATGTAGTGGAAAAATGAAGGGTAGAAAATTTCATTTTCAAAAAGAAATACATTAATAATTACAGGAACTTTCCATGCTGTGTTAATTGGTAGAAATAGTTCTGAAAAAAAACTTCAAACCAAACCCATGGATAACTATGATAATAATGGGGGAGAGTCAATACTGCTTATGTAAATTTTGATCTCTGAAATCTACTTGAATTCTTTGGAGGAGTTAGTGAGCAAGTGGATAATGGTGTTCAGATTGATACAGTTACTTAGCATTTTCAAAAGTTTTTAGACCGAGCTTTTCACTCACATAAAGACAAAGAGGTAAAAATAATTTTCTCTCCTAGCAATAATGTCGGGTTGTAAAACCGAAAGCAAAGGTGAGAAAACAGGTTCCTGTTCAGGTTTCATAACAGAGAGAGGTTGCCAGTGGAATGTCATGGAGTTTTATTCTGCAACCTGTGTCATCCAGTCTTTCAGAATTAATTGATGTTTTCATGAAAATGGCAGCCAGATACAACATTTCAAATTCCAGAAATAAAAGGCAAACCACCATGTCACTAGCAAATGCATTATACATGCACATGTTAAGTGCCATTAACAGTTTTGGTGTTTCCATTTCAAATGGAAACACAGTTCTGAACTGTAGAACAGAATGAACTAAGAATGAACTAAGAAAGACAACAATAAGAGACAGAGTGGCTTCTGTATTAGGAAAGATCAAAGGGGGTAGGTTTCTTCATCCCCAGAAGGAATAACTGTGAAGGGGAATATCATAGAAACTTAGAAAATTATGAATATACAGGGAAGACAAATGGGTATAATTTATTTCATTGTTTCTTATGGTGAATGAACCGTGGAGGACAAACAAAATTATCAGGTGGTAGTTTTAAAACAAAGAAGAGGCACAGTAATTTATATGACTGTTAATTTGTGGTACTTGTGTCTCAGAATATTAACGGTGATTAAAATACACATGGCTTCAAAAATTATGTAGCAAATTTTTTCTTGGACTTTTTGAACATGGAGGTAAACTCACTAGGCTCTCCAGTTCTCTAGGTTGCAGAGTGCTGGAGTCTGAGAGGGAATATAAGCAAAGTTTAATAGTCTGCTTGCCCACACCTATTACAGGCCTTTTATCAGAGACAGGATGCTGGCCTAGATGGGTCTTTGGTCTGACTGGAAACATATTTTATATTACATTCAATTTCAACTAAATTAAGTTGATGGAAGCAAAAAAAAACACCACCCAAAATCAAACCCCAAATGCTCTGCAGTTTTTAATGGCTTTGAAGTCAAATGTACACAAAAATCAAAATCAAAGGCATGTAGAAGTTTTTGAATTATAGCTTTCTTTTTCATTTAATTTGCTTTTTTCTTAATACAAACTGAATGTTGGCAATGTTGCTTATAAACTAGTTAAATTTCTGTGTTTAATTCAAGGTTATTAATTCAGGCATATTATTCTAGCACATAATCTGTCCTGTATGTGCCATTACAGGAAGAATATACAATGATGTATGAAGATTTAGAAGCAAGCCTTGATTTAAAAAAAAAAAAAAGGTGGAACGCTGGCTATGCAGGAATTATGGTCAGCAAGAGTCCTAATCAGTTCTATGATAGTTTTGATGAACATAGAGCAATCACAGAATCACAGATTGGGTAAGGTTGGAAGGGACCACAGTGGGTCATCTGGTCCAACCTTGTCGCTCAAGCAGGGCCATCCTAGAGAAAACAGCACAGGATTGCATCCAGATGGTTCTTGAATATCTCCAAAGAGGGAGACTTCCCACCCTCTCCAGGCGGTCTGTTCCAGTGCACTCTCACCTGCACAGTAAAGAAATTCTTTCTCAATCACTGACCTGCTCAGGCCTCTGACTGCTTAAGCATACGTGGGTAGACATTAGATTAATTTCACTCTGCTCATGTGCAAACCTGTCATTAAATCCCAGGAATTTGCATTAAATTGTGGTTTCTACAATTTATTGTGAACATGAGATGCAGAGAAAATGGAGCGATGTAATAGTGACTTTGTTATTAGATCAATGTAAATAAATAACTGAGATTTAAAACCCTTATTTGATCTTTCATTTCCTGTTGAACTTCATCTGAAACCAATATTTGTGTTTATTTTTCTCTGGAAGACTAACAGCCTTTACTAAAAATTGGAGTTTTATCCCATCACAAAGTATTTGTCCAGACTCTGGAGATGTGTTTGTGCTTAAATAATAGCACTTACCTGGAGGATCATGTTCGGTCCATGCAAAGACCCAAATGTGGAGAAGTAGGGAAGTATGAAGGTGACTAAAAGAACTTTCAGTCACCTCTTAATTCTCCTGTATTCCCCTCATGTGGTTGAATGAGTGTTGCTGTGATAAACTGAATTTTTTTTGCCTCCTTACAATTCAAAAAGAAAATTCCTATAAAGAATTCCATAATTTTAAGCCCATCATAGAATCAACCAGGTTGGAAAAGACCTCTGAGGTCATCAAGTCCAACCCTTGACCCAAAACCACCGTGGTTACTAGACCATGGCACTAAATGGCACATCCAGTCTCATCTTAAAAACCTCCAGGGACGGAGAATCCACCACTTCCCTGGGCAGCCCATTCCAATGCCTGATTACTCTCTCTGTAAAAAATTTCTTCCTAATATCTAACCTAAACCTCCCCTGGCACAGCTTAAGACCATACCCTCTTGTCTTGCTGATAGCTGTCTGGGAGAAGAGACCAACCCCCACCTGGCTACAACCTCCTTTCAGGGAGTTGTAGAGAGTGATGAGGTCTCCCCTGAGCCTCCTCTTCTCCAGGCTGAACAACCCCAGCTCCCTCAGCCTCTCCTCACAGGACTTGTGCTCCAGTCCCTTCACCAGCCTTGTTGCTCTTCTCTGGACCTGCTCCAGCACCTCAATATCCTTCCTGAACTGAGGGGCCCAGAACTGGACACAGTACTCGAGATGTGGCCTCACCAGTGCTGAGTACAGGGGAAGAATCACTTCCCTGGTCCTGCTGGCCACACTGATCCAGGCCAGAATGCCATTGGCCTTCTTGGCCACCTGGGCACACTGCTGGCTCATGTTCAACTTCCTGTCAATCCAAACTCCCAGGTCCCTTTCTGCCTGGCTGCTCTCCAGCCACTCTGTCCCCAGCCTGTAGCGCTGCAGGGGGTCGTTGTGGCCAAAGTGCAGGACCCGGCACTTGGCCTTGTTGAACCTCATCCCACTGGAATCAGCCCAACTCTCCAGCCTGTCCAGGTCCCTCTGAAGAGCCTTCCTGCTCTTACATCATTAAGATGTAACTTGCACCACTATGCTATTACTTGATTTACTTCTTGTTGCTGAGTCATTATTAAACAAAATGACTTGCAGTACAGTAAGCTGATTATATTTTTCCATGACTTGGCCCATGCCTCCAGCTTGTCACAGCAAGCACGAAGTATCTTCAGATTTTCAGACCTGATTGAAGCTAGGTAGATCAGTTAAGCATGTTAGGCAGGCAACCTCTTAATGAAATTTGTATGTTGAGCTTGCTGCCTGCTAAATTGTGTGATCTGCCTCATGGAAGGTGATGAAATGAATTAGATTTTAAAACCTACTGAAAATATGAATTTGGAAGTCTTTGTACTAGTATCATATTTTGCCTTATTTTTGAGCAAGTCAGAAGAGTGAGAAGAAAAAAAGCCTCCTCTTTGTACATTTTTCTTCTAGCACACTCATAACTTTTAAGATTTGCTCCATATAATTTACTTGCTTGACAAGCAATATGTGCCTCTGATGTAGCTATTAGGTTTTTTTAATGAAGTAAAACAAATAGTCAACGTTTGTAATTATATATGGTATAAATATATATTGTAACAATATTTTAAAATAATTTGTATTGCTATCTCATATGATTAATCTGCTATATTTTAAAGATAAATACATTGATTCTGAGAGACAGCATGACTCCAGTATGTGATAGTTTCTGTATGTAACACAGATACTCTATAGTCCTGAAGTGTGAAGACAGAAGACAGTTTTTCCGTACTGAAAAATTACTTTAAATCCAAACAAGCTTAAAACTTTTTAATTGGTAGGATTTTCAGAAATTGAATAGTGTCTTGTTAAGGAATGAAAGTCTTTTTTAGGAGATTCTCTTGCTCATGTGATGTTAGTCCTCAGAAGTCTGTTAAGAGTGTGAAAACTGTCTGATTTGTTAGAAGATTTCTTTCCATATGAGAGAACTCGGAAATAACAATGAACACTTTGTATCATTTCTGGCTGGGTGAGCAGGGATTATATCTTGGAAATACTTCAGCTAGTGCAAGATCATAGTGAGCTGAACTGAGTTGACAAAGGCACAGGCAGTGTTCTTATATTATTTTTTTAAGCAGCCACAAAGTGGTATTGCCACAGAGTAACCAAATCCTCTTCCTTGTACAACACCTAAGTTTGTGGTCTCTGTGTTACAGGTGCTCAAAAGAAACTTCTCATGTCTGGTTCCAAAGCTACAGAATGCTCTTACATGTGTAACAATTACTTAGTCTGTTACTTTCAAGACTTTCTAGATGTGCAGGGAAGTGTCAAGGTTTTCCCAAAATCTCCATGTGGGATGAAATCCTGATTATATTTATTTGGAAGTCAGTTTTTAACAGTGTCTCCGATTGTTAAAAAATTGGATTTCTCCAAGTAAATAGCAACTCATTAATATTTCTAATTCAGTCTAGATATCAAACAAGATTTTTTTTAAATTAAATGTGGGAGTCTACTGCAGCATACAGAAAGAGTCGGTATAAATCAAACTTTTCCTTCCTTTTTTTTTGTTTGTTTGTTTGTAGTTCGATCCATTATTGATTGAAAGCAAAACACCAGAAACAGTTGTACTAATGCTTAGTTCTCCTGAAACGGAAATTTTGACCAAAGCATGTGATGCTCTATATAAATTTGCTTCAAAAGGTTAGTATTTTTGCAATGAGCTTTGTTTTGCACGCTTAGATTTTGATAGTAGTTCACAATTTTTAGTTTCCTAGCACTGAAATCTTTAATTTCTTCTCAAAGGTCTCTGTTGAGGTTTTGGGGGTTTTCTGAAATATTGATCCAACCCGTATTTGCAGTTATAAAGTAGTTTGCATGAAGCAAATTTTTATAATTTTGTTGTAGAATTTTTTATTCACTGTTGAATAGAGCTTGTTTTAAATATAACGTAGATCTGGTTTTTTATGAGCAACAGACCTGCAATTGGGAAATAATTCTTTTTTTTATGTCACAGTTTGAGACTTCTGTACCACTGCAGTTATTTTAAGGTGCAGTTTTTAATGAAAATAACTTTTTAGCTTGTTTCTGTTATTTTTGCATAAAGTTGTTGTGTCAGGATTTCTGTGACAGATGATTTATTGGAGACTGCTCAACCTCCTTTATCAAGCTTATTCTGTCTGTTGGGAATCTAACAAGTCTCCAAGATACCAAATCTTCCAAAGGTTCCTGTATAATCTATAGCTAAGGATCATGTCCAAGGGACCAAGGACACAAGCAACTGTATAAGGCTCAATTTTATGTAGCAAGTAATTTCCTAAGCTGTCTCCTACTTACTCCATGCCAGTCACTCAAGTTGGTATATGCTGGTAGTATTCTTGGTCTGATTAATCTGGTTTAATTTTAATTTCCAGTAAATTTACATTTTCTTAAGAAATTATGGGTTTATATGTTGATTGTTATACTGATGGCGATTGCCAACACTGCTGAAGTTATGAGAGAAGAGCTGGAGGCTTTGACAGCTGGCTAGAGGTCAATGGGTTCTGAAAGATGTTTGGGCTCAGCTTGATATGGCAAGCTTGGCTGAGAGCAAGCAATCACATTTTGAATATGGAAGAGAGATTGTGGACTGTTGGGAGACAGCTATGAACCATAAGCTCTTGCTGGCTCCTTCCCTGCTATCCACAGTAAAGTATGTCATGCTGCAAGAGGGAGGACAGATGCTTATATTTTATGTTTCTACTAAATGAATAATCCTTTAAATCATTAATGTAGATATTCCTACAATCTTCCAGAAGACTTGACTGTAACTTTTCAGTGTGGCACAAGAGGAGGAGTTGTTTTCAGTTAATTAATTGCAGTTAATCTATTTTTTGAGTGTTGCTAGTAAATTAAGTCCCATCCCTCAATAAAAATACCTTGTATTTTAATCATGTCTTGGCCTGAGAATGAGCATAGTTCTCCAGTTTCCTCTTACATTCCTTGCTTGTAGCCAGAAAGAATAGGCATAGTTCATTAGAAAATGAATTATAAAGCTGTTGTGGGAACTGGGAATGGGAGTAGGATTGGGATTTTGTTTCTTGGGTTGTGTGCGTGTTTTGAGTGATCAGGAATGGAAGGTTGTAATCACACAAAACACCTCTGTTCTTTGTATGTCCAGCACCTATTGAGGTACAGAGTGCTCCATTCTCAGGTGGTAGAAATCTCGGTTAGGATTTAATGTTCCAAATCTTGGTAGTTGCTTCCATTGAGGGATAGTAAAGATACACTGAATTAATTAACTGTTATTTTGAGGAAAACAGAATTGGGAGGCAAGAAAAGAGGAAGACAAAATGAGGTTCTTAATGATACTGAATAAAATGAGGTTCTTAATGATACTGTTCACCTTTACTTTGCTAAATAGAAAGTTGTCCTTTGTACTACCATTGCAGTCTCTAACAAATGAGTGGAGTGTCCAATGGGCAGAAGTATCCTTTGCTTTACAAATGTGAATTAATCTTAGATATTATTAATCCTTGAAACTCTTTGACACATATTTATTTGGGGTATAGATTACATGATCTCCCAAGGCCCTGTCAGGCCTTTGTTTTTTGATTCTATGTCCAATAAAAGTAGCTGTTTTACTTTGATACATTAGAACTGTGAGGTTGTTGCATTTTTTCTTGGGCTTTTAACACAATTCCTCTTCAGGTGATGAAAACAAAGTGACACTTCTTGGTCTTGGAGCATTGGAACATCTGTATAAACTCATCTCACATGAAGATCCCATTGTACGCAGAAATGCCATCATGGTTTTTGGCATCATGGCTTCTAATCGTAAGAGTTTCAATTTATAAATATTTTTGAATGTGTGTTCATCAAAACAAGGAGCTGACCCATGTGAAAAAATCCTATATTAATGGCCCAGAATAATGAGTAAGTGATGCAAGGTTGAGTTTCAGTGGCTGCTATTTTTACAGTGCTTTATAGACCTATATCTAATTATTGTAATTAATCAGTTGTTTTTTTGGTGGATGTTCTACCCAATTGTATTCCATTGTGATGTCCCAACCACTCTTAAGTCTTTTCATCAACTGCTACCTGCTTTTCATGCTGCACTGGACCTTACCCTCTTTACCTTCCTTTCAGCTCAGCATTAGCATATAGTCCATGCTGCTGCACAAACATGAATTTGAATGGGCAAAGATCTTCCATTTATATTACATCTTAATTGTTTCTTTATTTAAAAGTAAATTAAACTCATACCTTTTTTCTTACATATCAACGCTGTAATATGTTGATAATGACAACACTGCCCTGTAAGATCGCACAAAGTCTGTTCCAATAGCTATTATTTGATTTTTTTTTATCCAATGATTGTGGTTTTGCTAGTTTGCCATTAACAACAATAAAAATTCATTCTGAAAGTCTTTACTGTGATTTTAATAAGACCTATGTAATTCATGTTTTCCATTTGCAGTGTGGGCTGGCATTAGCTTGAAATTGCAAAGTCGTGGCTTGAAATGATGGAGAGGTTGCTTTTAGTTTGATAATTTTAATGACAAATAATTTAAGCTATTGGGATATGACTTCTTTGGCAACTAAAACTGTGCAATATTTAATCAGAACCTGCTAGATGCAAGTATTTTGAGTAAAGTTTCAATAAAATATTAAGGAAGTTCATATATATCACATGTCAAAGAATGTCATCTGGTACTTGAAAGTCTTTTCTATTTTTTGTCCGGGCCTATTATAATCTTGGTATAACTTCAGTTGTGTGTCTTTCCCAGTCAGATCTGTTTGTCACTCAGGGGGTAACCATAAGTACATTTGCTTGGAGCAGATTCTCTTCTTTACTCAGCCAACACTGCCAAATGAGAGACTTCATATTTGTATTTATTTCATTGTAGATAATGTCAAGAAGTTACTGAGGGAACTGGATGTCACAAATCCACTTATATCACAGCTGGCACCAGAAGGTACCTTGTGCAGTATTCATTCCTTGTGCTAAAGTACAGTGAGAAATAATTTATGATTGCATTTGAACAGACAATTTAATAAAATCTTCCCTGTAACTTATGATTTGTCCTACTACATGTTAAAGAGGTAAAATGCTTTTATAGGAGTAGCTCTTACTCACTGAGTAGCGTTTTGTGTTGTATGGATGGAGCAACATGTTTATGGAGACATCAGGTAGGATTAACGGCTATTATTTATTGACTTCAAATAATATTTTAAACCACTGGATTAGTGAATATATTCTGTGCTGAATAAAACTTGATCAAAATGTTTGTTTTTTTTCCCTATAGAAGATGTAGTTATCCATGAGTTTGCTACTCTCTGTCTAGCACATATGGCTGTTGAATGTACTACTAAAGTAAAAATATTTGAGCAAGGTGGATTAGAACCACTTATCAGACTGCTAGGTAGCCCTGATCCTGACGTTCAGAAGAATTCACTTGAATGCATTTACCTTCTGGTACAGGTAAAGTTTCCTGCTGTTTGTTGCTTTAACTTACAAAGGCAGATAGACACTTCCCTCCCCAACCCCCACCCCACCCTGCCCCTGACATCCTCTGTGGGGGAAATAATTTTAAAATACTTGTTTCCTTTACTTCCCAATGTCCATCAGTGTATTTGAACCATCACACTCAATCTCATGAATGTTAGATTAGTTATGTATATAGCTCATTTGACTCTAATTCTGTTGAACTTGATGCAATTATCTGTGGTGTGCTGCAGTATAAGTATAATCAGAATGAGATTTAGATTTTTTAAATTAAATAGGAGTTTGTTTTCTCAGTTGGAAAATGCTAATTGTGGTAATGAGAGTCATAATCTGTCCATCCAAAAGGTTGGAATAATCCTGTAAATTAAAGAACTACCAATTGCATTGTGTCTTGATTTGACCAGCAGGTCCATAGCACAATTTTGAACATATTTTTAATGATAGGTGAATGCTGTCAACAGCTACTTTCCATACTGGGAGGAATAGGTTTGTTATTGGCTACTTTCACACTCAGCACTAATGTCATCCATATGCTGCTTAGCAAAAGAATGGTGCATTTGTATGGCAGTCCTCTTCCATGGCTTAAGCGAATCAATTCAATAATGAATTCAGTTTATAACTCTATCTCTTTTGGGGCATCAGAGCATGTCTATTCAGAATCACATTCTACTCTTTCTCCTTTTTTACTATCTCGCTGTCTTTGTTGCAGGGTATATCTGGATAACTGCACCTGGTGCTTGCTTATATTGATAAGGATAATTGCATGCTGCACATGTGCAATAAGCTATTTAAAAGCAAATTGTAATTTATTTATTTATTTTCTATTTTAATATAATCAACTGCTGTCTTTTTATTAAGCTGCACATTCTCTGTTTAAAGTTGAAATTTTAAATTAAATATAATTACTAAAAAAAAAGGAAGATATAACCAGGCAACCACAGTTGAGTGCAAAAAACTGTTTTCCATGCACTGAGTAAACAAAAATGGTGAAACTAAATTTAAAAAACTTCCTCAAAGAAACATTTATGTTGACACAAACATGGTGAAACCAAGAGTAAATGGGCTTCCTTAGACAGAACTAGATTCTGTAGTGTGTATTTCAGTCTTGAAAAAAACTCCTAGAATTTAAGGTTCATGGGGCTTGATTATATTGTTTGATTTTTAGCTCAAAAGAAAGAAATCTTCAGGACTGAAAGCTCTGGAGTATTGACTAATTTTTTGATGTCTGAAATCAGACTTTTGGTGTTCTTTCTGTAAAGTCAGGAGTGGATGTATTGTTATATTCTCTATCACTAACTTTATTTGTTGAATATTTTACTGCAGGATTTTCAAAACCGTGCTGCAGTTAGTGAACTGAATGTAATTCCACCGTTGCTGGAACTACTGGAATCTGAATACCCAGTTATTCAGTTGTTAGCCCTTCAAACCTTAGAAGTAATTAGCAAAGACAGAGAAACCAGGATAATACTGGGAGAAAAAAACGGATTAGATTGCTTGCTGAAGATACTGGAAACCAATGTACAGTTTACTTGCTTTAAAAGTTTTTTCGTTCTTGCTACTAATGTTTGTGTGACTAATGAGAAAATATTACTTATGTTATGGAAGAGTGAAATAAGAAGAAAGAGTTCCTTACTTGGAGTGAACTATGATAGAAATACGATAGGCTAGGATACCTAGCTCACTAAGAAAGGAAGCAAAGGGATTCACCAAAGTATTTATATTTGTTTTATTGCTTTGTTACTCTTAGTAATAAATACTGTTTTGCATTTACTGTCCATTTCTTGAACTGTTGTAAATGTCAGAAAAATTCACCATATACCTTTTTATATGATGTTTTCTCAAATTTTTTTATTATATATAGAACTCTGATGCTGGTTCCTAGTTTGAACACTGATCCTTTTTTCCTGAATTTACTTTGATATCGGTGGCCTTAGACATAATTTTCTACCTTGGAAATGTCATTGTTTATGTTATTATGATATTCAGTTTAGTGCTTCTTGAGTTCAGGTGTCACCATGGGACATAATGCATAGAGAAATTTGTGAAGTTTTTGAAATTTTAACATGACAAGTACCTGTCTAACCCACTTTGATGTAAATGAGAAACTTCTGGAGGCTTTAGTGCTTTTGATAAATTGTGTTGCATCCCAAGGCATCATCAAATAAATTAGATGAAAATGTGAATATGAAAATATGTTCTTTGCAGTATGAACAAACTGTCCAAAAGAAAGTTACAACAATTATCCTACAAACTTAAAAGCCAAAGATATTTTAATCCTGATTTGAAGGTTATTTGTTTGGTTTTTTTCCTTTATTAGGAACTGAGTGATCTACACATCAAAACTCTTGCTGTGTTGGGAAATTGTCTTGAAGATGTGCATACTCTGCAACTGATTCAGCAGACAGGAGGCCTTAAAAAACTCCTATCACTTTTAGGAGTCTCTACTGTTCCTGATATTCAGAAGAATGCAGCAAAGGCAATTACCAAAGCAGCTTGTGACTGTATGTGACTTTTCAATAATCCATGGACATAAAATTGTTTATGAAGTAAATTTTTATCCAGAATGAGGTTGTCTTACCTGGTTGAGGATAGTACTTGTGCTAGGTTTTACATATATATATATGAGAAAATTTTAAGATTTTGCTTCAATTTATTTTTAAATGTAATATATTCTTGCAAAATGCTCTTCTCAAAGAAAAATGGAACTTTGAAAATATGATCTTTGTCTTTTGATTAGTGATGCCAGGTAACTGCCATCTTAAGCCACCTTTGCTGGCACTTTCTCACCACTATCAGTTAAGACTTCATCTGGCATTCAACTGCTCGTCTAAATGTCAGGCAATTTCAAACACAAATTTCTTTAACAGGGGTCTGAAAGAAAACCTTTCAAATGGCTTGCAGATTAATATTCTCAGGGGAGTTAAATAGTTTCATTGTAATCTTTTTATAATTATTCATCCTATAGTTCTTTTTTATGTACTTTTCTTTAATTCACCAAGGAATTCTGAATTAGGCAGAACATGCTCATCATTTTTGCCCACAAGGATGGTCTTTTAATCAAGCTACATTTGAAATTCTTTCCATATATTGGCTTCTGAGTTGCAACATGTGCCAAGTAGTGTTGTGTAAAAAAACACGATGTAACTAATAACATACTTCTGTCTATAGAAGATTTTAATTCTGTCAAGGGATTCTTATGATAGAACTGTGACAGTAGAGCTTAAATATTTCATTAATATTTCTGGCACTTTGTGTTTGAATCATGGCTTTAACTGATGAGTATTTTAAAAATATGTTATTTAATTTAATACATGGGTAAAATAATCTCTCCTTTCTACAATATTTCAGACTTCCTTTCTTCTCTCCCCATGCTGTCTTATCAATTCTTTTCTCACCTTGCTTAGTTTGACATCATGAATATTTGTAATTATTTGGATTGCAAATGATACACAAAAAGAGTGGAATCTGCCTTTCCCAGTATTCTGTGGATTTCTCTGTGCTTTCATCATTATCTGTTGGAAGCTTTGCAAGTCACTGAAGATTGTTTTCATTAATGTTCAAGTATCAAAGATAGGAAGGAACCTTCTTATGCCAGTATTTTTTTGTGTATTTTCCTGTATTGTTATTTTATTATGCTACTTAGGACTGTCAGTATCATTTTTATAGTCCTGTGACAGGCTTATAAGGTGTATGCTAAGCAGATTTATATTTGCTCCTACTGCTTTCTACTGCATCTTACTCCTTTATCATATTTATTTTCAAATAAGCATAGCCTTCTTTTCCTCTTTCACACTTTTTTTCAGTTTTTGTGGCCTAATATTTTAGCAGCTGTTAGTAGAAGCATGTCTGAACACATTTTTAAAGCACGGTGGCAAGAACTACACATAATATATTACAGTACTGCCTATGATCTTATATCATGGGATGTTGCCGTCAGTGAAGATGCATCTTCTTGTCATGCTTCTTTACAAATGGAGTCAATGTGGTTTCATTATAAAGGTTTGCTCTCTTCTTCAGCCTATGACAGTTGGTATGGATACAGCAAGCTGGGAAAATAGATGAAAAGAACATTTAAAATATCTGCTTTCAAGATGTAGAATTTTGGTGACACCCAGTTAGACTTGTCCTGGTGCAGGAGAAAACACAATCCAGTAAACTCGCTGCTCAGTGTGGCCCCCAGAAGCATTGAATTTTTCAGATACACAGGGCTACTGTCAGTCTTCCAGAGGGAAGAAAAGTGGCATTGAGGCCATTACAAGAAATAGCCCAAGTGCAGAAAGAAAACAGAAATATTTGCAGTCCTTGTTTGTTTGATTGGATTCTGGTTGTAAACATACTAAACAGCCTATCCAAACTGCGACACTAATGTATACAGTACTAGTACTTGCCTTGATGTGAATCCAAAGTAATACAACACAACTCTAAGTTCTGTAGTGACTTTTCCATTAAATTTGCCATAGCCATACAGTAGCTGACATTCTTCAGGTTTGATAATTTACCAACATTTCCTGCATACATGGGAAAAAAGAGTACTGCTTTTCATTGGAATGAAAAAGTTCCTTCTGGAATGACAGAACATGTATCGAGCTGGTTTTTTAATCCTGGAAGCTGAGTATACAGCAGTGTCTGGTTTTGAAATTATTATTGTTGACAGATGGAATTTAATTTTGATGGGTTTTTTTTCCTGATAGATGTGATCATAGCAAACAGTTTTGGTTTATGTCCCTTTCAGGCCTTTGCAAAGGGACTCGTGGTGGTGTTATAAGATAGATTTATCCCTTAAGAGCTATTCTCAATATCAGAATAAATTACGTGGTTCAAACATGATATTCAATTTGAAATAGCATCTTTAGGCTGCTGCTCTGTTAAAGTACATTAAAATTGATCACATTTCTATACATAATCATTATGCCTTTGCCCCTAAAAATTTTTTTTGTTCATACATAATTTTGAATTTAATATATTAATTTATTGATGATTTTATTTTGTATGCTCAGAATTATGGTGGTGAATTATACTGTGATTCCCTCCTTGCCCAGCAAATAATGCAGTCATTTCAGAAGGCAAAATATAATTTAATGCTATAAATTATTGAATGTTTGTGAGTGGATTATCTGGACTGTTGATTAAGGAGGGCCTGATTTCCCCTGTCAATGCCAGACACACCAGCAACAACAAAATGCTATAGAGTATGTATGGAGAAAGTGATGATCATGCTCACCTGGGCTTGGCCTCACTCTGCCAAACTTCTGGTTTGAACCTCTCCCCGTTCTTTCTCTGTATCTCAGTGCAAATCCTTTCAAAAGGGAGCACACTAAACATGCTCTGTAGCCTGCTTACCATATGCATTTCATAATACAGATTTTCGTTTATCTGGGTTATCTCAACTCAAGATAAGTGAGAGCTCATGGTACTATTTAACATTAACTTCTTTTTTCATTTGAAATTGGTATAAATAATTCCATAAAGTGGTGACAGTGACCTGAATAGGCGATCAGTAGAATTCTGATCACGATTTTGAGGCAAGTAGGAAAATATATTGAAAAACAAAGGTTATCTCACAATGGGGTCAATGCATGAAAAACTGGACAGAACTGTTAGTATTCCAAACTCTTAGTTGTGTGTGCTTGAGTATTTTGCTTCACGTTAAATCAATGTATTCAAATCACTTAGGGGTTAAGAAAGTCATCACTGTAAAAATGGTGTTGGCACTCACATGAGAAGTACTTCAGTAGAAAGGATGCTTTTCAATTGTGCATTCTTTCTTTTCTGTAGCAATGGAAACAAAGGAACAATTCATACAGAGAGGATTATCAGAAAATATTCATCCCTTATATAGAATTGGTGCCTGGATTGTTAAAATATTAATAATTTTCATCGGTCTAGCTACCTAAATATATGTGGATACTCTTTACCATAAGTTCAAATTCAAAAATCTGTTTTTCCACATTATCAAAAATATATTTTTCTGTTTAAAAAATTTTAAATCACTATTTTCACTCATCCAAATTAATTATTCATAATATTATTTCATATAGGCATAAATTATCTTTAAAATGAAACACTCATCATTGTAGCTACCTTTAAAAGCAAGAATAATTTTAAAGAAAATTTGAATAGTAATAAGTAACTTGCTGTACAAAAACTAAATTACTGAGTCATGAAGAACCTCTAGAGATCATTATTAGGGATTATGGACTACTTTGTTAAGCAACAGGCCAGCGGCATACTTGATAACTTCTCAAAATGGTCTCTAATCCCAATTAAGGCCTTCTCTTGAGAGCTGGCCAATATGCATCAAGGCTGTGGCCAAGGTTCTGCTGACACTTAAAATCCTCTCTGTTTTATTTGTCGCATCTTTGCTTTGTGTTTTCATTTGTGTAAGTGATGATTCTAAAAATGTTTAAAATTGAGCTAGAGAGAAGAAAGCAACTGTAGCCATCTCACCTATGTGCATTGAGTCATTTCTGCTGTAACTAGATTTTCAGTCAAATTCCCTTTTCATTGACTTTGCGGACTTGTATTTGTTTAGTGTTATTCACTATAGATTCAGATTTATCTAAAGTAATACTTATGATATTTTCCTTTCCTTTTAAATTTTTTTTATTTGGAGGATGACAGTCCAAACAAGGGAGAGATCCCTGAGAGCAGTAGTAAGCACTGGTAAAATTTCTACATGTGTTGAAGTCCCACTGACTTCTCAGTTCATGCATTTTTTTAATACATTCAAAAATTCTACCATTTAGATAGAACTTCAAGCATGTAATTAATCTGCTTTAAATTATGCATATGGTTAAATGTTTATTGACCCTCATCACTGTACAGCTTCTGTGCTGTCCAGTGCCTTTCTGGATAAGAAAGTTTCACTCAGGGCTCTTTCTAACAAACACCTGGATTTCTGATCTCATCCATTTTGGGATGAGGGAGTTTATTAGTTTGTTAGTATCTACATACAGGTGTCTGTCAATACTTTGTCGAAGCTGTGTGTTGTTACTTGTGTAGAGGAAGGGAACATCTATGTCCTTCCCAGCTGCTGCCAGTCATCACAGAGTAGGTCAGCAGGGAGCCCTGTGTCACCAGGCTAAACTACAAAATTGAAATTCTCTGCAAATTGTGCATTGAGGAACTACAAGCTGTGCAGAATTTAAAATTTTCTTTGTAACTCCTCTTGCCTTTTTTTGGCTTTGTATCAGTATGTTGGCTTTTGCAGTATGGTAACCGATACTCCACCAAGTTCAATTGTACATTTACTAGTATGTTCTTCAATTTTATGCATTTGGACTTTGTTAGCATAAACTGAAGTTAAGCATGATCCTGACTAAGTATGATCTGTTGAATTGGAAAAGCTATTTCCATCAAGCCTGTATACATTCTGCGGTTTTAAAGTCTTTTAGAGAACAAACTTTGCCTTCTGTTGAGCTGTGTATGTTTGAAGCTGTATTTAATAGCCATCGTTTGGGCTTGATTCAGAGTTCACTGAAGTCTAATACATGAGTTGGACTTCAGTGATCCTTGTGGGTCCCTTCCAACTCAGGATATTCTATAATAGGATTTGGCTCAGGTCCTTTGTGCACATTTCTAAACGGCCGATGCCCCTGTTACCAAATATTTCGAGCAACTATATGAAATCAAATTCATGTCCTTTCACTGATCTGGAAAACAAATGCTGATTAATGCTACTGTTATTTCTCGTTTAAAGCTGAAATCAGAAAAATCTTAAATGAGGAAGAGGTTGAGAAATGTCTCCTAAACCTTTTGGAAACTGGCAGTGATGAAGTTAAAGTTGCTGCTTCCCAAGCAATTTCTGCCATGTGCAAGAATGTAGAGAGCAAATGTGCGCTTGGACTCCAGGGTAAGTAAGGTGGGAAAGGATGAGCTGAGAATTTGTGCTTTTTCTTTTATTAGGAGACTGCTATGGTTTACTTAAAGGTTCATATATACAATTATTTTTTTCAAAGGGATTCCCCAGCTGGTACAGTTGCTAAGTAGAGATAATGAAGAGGTAAAAGAAGCTGCAGTGACAGCATTAGCTAGTTTGACAGAAGCCAGTCATAGTAATGCAAGGTGAGTCTGCAATAATTGAATTATTATTTAAAACAGTAATCTGAACACAAGTGATAATATTTTGATTTTTAAAAATGCCTTGTCTTGTCCTTATCCCAGGATAGGCAGGTCTGTTTGGATTTGACTGTAAGGTGCTTTTTGGTTCTTATGAGTCATCTGGAATAGGTTGGTTCTCATCAGTGTTACAAGAGTTATGCTGTCTCTACTAACATTTGCTTCATCAAGGAAAGGTATGAAGCAGATGTAATGAAAGCAGAGATATAAATCATGTTTTGAAGAGAACATATGAACAAAATATGCCTTATAATCTAAAGCATTTGATGTGGAATTTTTTTTTAAATTCCAAATCATTAAAATAGTTTAAAATTTTATGGTTCATACAACTTTTTTGACTGATCTAAATCCAGTCTTTGATGGAGATAGCTCTCAGATCTTCTGAATATTGGCATTGTCTTGGTCTTTCTTTTTTGTTGTTGTTTCCCAAGTAATGGAGAATGCTTCTAGTGCATTCTCTGAAAGAAAAGAAAGGTAACTTCAGTATCCAAAATAACTAACAAAGGATGGTTAGCTGACTATATGTTCCCAAACAATTGTATCAACTAAATTCTGCTGTCAGTTGGAGAGTTTTGTTATCCCAACTCTATTAAAAATCCTGTTCAGGGAAAAGAAACAGAGCAGTGTGTGACGTATGTGAGCAATCACATGTAACTTACAAACCATAAAAAAAAATTCCTTAGAAGTTTCCTGGAATATACTTAAGAAAGTTGTAATCAATTCACAGGCATTCTTTGAAGTGAAAAAATAAAATAACTCACAAAATAAATTATTTGTTTCAATTTATTGATTCATCTCTAATAGTCACCAGTATTCACTTAATGTTACCAGATGGAGCCATAATTTGATGCAAGAGAATAATACTCTGTTCTCAGATTCACATAGTAGATTTTTTTTTTTTGTCTGATACTCTGCTCTCCTCATGTGCTGGACTCTTCAGTTGGTGTCAGTGGGAGTCATACACACATAAAATGAGCACAGTACTGGAGTCTAGGGGTCAAACTTTCAACTCTGCTACAGCTGTTTTTCGTAGTGCAGCCCTTTGAGGTTTCACATTGTGAAAAGGGATTTTTGAGTTGGTATAGCAGCTTATGCCAACTCATTCCATTTCTTTTGCCAAGGAGATAGTCAGGACATTGTTTAGCTCAACTGCTGGAACAATTCTCTGAGACCTCAGGCAGGGAAATAGCTGTTTCTGTTCCTCTGCATTATAATGAAGTCCATATTTGTTTCTTGCTGGGCAGAGTCAGGAAATTGTAAAGGTGGCTCACATATACTTCTCCCTCTTTGCAATCCAGCTTCAAGTACAATATGGAAGCACCAGATAATCTAATCACATGTCTTCTGTGAAAATCAGGAAGCAATAATTTACATTAAATATGTATATTGGATGAATGCCATGTGATTATATAATTACTTCAAAGCTTCATTCCTAAATCGAAACCATTAATAAGTCATAGAAGGGTATAAGTGTGACTAGGATCTGTAGACAAATATATAGTGTTGAACCCTTAGCTGATACAGATTGGTATAGTTCCAGCTCACTGACTGACTATCTGGCCCATATTTATTTTACATACACGTAATAGGAAATAAAAATAGTTTGGAGAAAATTAATTCCAGATTGAGTCACCGTAATCATATTTCGTTCTGGAGTGTTTTATGTGTTTGTATGCCACTGAAAATAAGTGTCTATATAATGAAGATGCTGATACACTTTTGTAATAATGGGACTTTGCTGTGCAATTATGTTGACAATATTCTGATCCCAAATGAGACTAATGAGACTAGCACCCTTTTATTGGTTATGTATTAGATTCTTGTTGTAAACCCTCCAAGAATATTAAATCATAAAGGTAGTAGTAGCAGGTAGACCTTATGTGTCAAGAACATAATGGCCACAGAAATGGGGAAGACTATTTGCTGTAAATGCTTTCACTTTTTACTGACTAGTCAAAAATTCAATCTTGTTGAACTCATATACATGCGTTCTGCCATATTTCATTTCATGAGCATTTTTGTTATGTATTACATTGACTGAAGGATGTGTACCTTGCCCTTTCATTTTGTACAGTATATATTTCAGAATATAAACTGAGTACAAGACATCACTATTTTTGCTGGAGATTTGTTGTTCTTGTTAGGAATATTTGCTCAAGAAGTGTAGCCTGCTTTTCATATAATATGGAAAAAAATACAATTTAAAACAAATTGTGTGTAATTAAGGCTCCCACAATAGCTAGCTCATAAAGATAAAGTCTTCCATTGATTAATGGCACAAGAACAGCATAGGTAATGGGCAGTACTACCCCCCACTAATGTATATTAACCTTGACCTTTAGGTGCTTCCCCACAGCAATGAAAGGCTAGTTCTCTACCCCTGCCCAATCAATCCTTTGTTTCTTAACTGAGACAGCTAATAAAGGTGTCAAATATGGTGGAGATTTGGTAATTAGAACACCTGTTCACGATGAACGGGACAGAGACCAGCTTGTCATTTCACACAAGTCCCCCAGCAACCACAATTTGGCAAAAATAAATAAATTAATGAATTGCTCTGCCTACCAGAGTATTTTAACCAAAGATCTAGAGCAGAAGAGAACATGAGTCCCATACAAGTGGTTTGAGTTTTCAGGTTTGCTGGAAAACATGGATTTTCAATATGATCTCTACCAGAACACATAACAATTATTATAAATAACTTCTAAAATATTTCAGCATTTAACTTTGTGCTGCAGAGCTGTTGTGTCATACTTCAGTAGCACATAGAAAAAAACACAGTGGTCAAATGCCTCATTAGTTTACAGACTGATTCCCCCAGATGACACTTTTATAAGAATTTTATCATAATGTAAGGACAGAGTTTTAATGCTGCTCTATACTGGTAATAACTTCTCTGTAAACTTGTTAATAATTAGGCTAAATAAATTTGCAAAGTATACTGCAGTTTAAAATCCCATGTACTTATTCTAACATGTTATATCCCTATGTGTATATAGTTCCAAGGTCATCCATGGTATATATATGTCAGAATTTGTTTCTGTGGTCTGCTTCTGGAAAAAAAGAGAATGATGTTCAGCTGAGTATTTGCATCCATTTTTTCCATCCCATCTTTTAATCCAGAACATTAACTTGCTTTATTGAAAACTGTATACACTTATTTGTACAACAAAATGCCATTTTAAGGATCCATGAAACCTGTTTCTGCTGTGTCCAAGCATAGGGTGATGTGGGCACAGTCAGTTCAGTAAGGACGTGAGGCACAAATCCAGCAATTACACGGGAACAAAGAAACAGCAGCGTCATCTATTGGGCAGGAAAATAAGTGATTGTGTGACACACATCTAACCCTGGAACAAATGTCTTTCTCAGCCTCTGCCTATTTTTTCCCATTTAAGGTATAATCAGTTATTTTTGCTTTCCATGTGTTTAGGGTAAGCTAATTCTGTTAAATATGAATATGATGTTAGTTAGAAGTTGCATGTAGAAATAAGATCTCAAACATACCAGTTAGTCAGACATTAATTTGACCAGCTCTTTTCTTCAGTATTGTTGTAGCACAAATGCCATTTCTAATAGCTGCCTTCATAAATCTGGGAGTGTCTGAATTCTGGGCACCTAATGGATTTGCCACTAAAGAAAAACATATGCTCTGGAATTTAGAACTGGGTACTGGATGTGAAAACTAATTAACAGCCTCAATAATATTTGTCCTAAATTGTTTATTTTAAGTGCAAAATTTATAGCATTCAGTTAGAGTTTGGTCTGGGGGAAGAAGGAAAGGGATGGTTTTTCTTCATCTGTACCAGTTGCTGCAGGAATTTGTGGTACATGACAGACTTATCATATGGCAGAATATTTCTCCTGGGGTTTATGATTAGTGTCATTTGACATATTTCTGTATTATATCTGGATTTAAGATAGCAAAGTATCATCCCAACATTTAGCAAGCTTAACCAGTTAATCAGCAAGTTTTATGTTTTTTAAATTCTTAAATTCTTCACAGGAATCAATGGATCTATTTACATTCACAATTATGTCCATATAAGCAGTTCCAGGCATTAGTGCAGCATCTGAATGTATGCTTTCTCAAATGTATCAAGATTGTCAAGATTTGGGAGTAGCTTGGGATAGGAAGATAGGTTGGAAACTTTTTGGTTATGGACAGTGCCCAGCGAGGAGACAGCAAGTTGTTCCCTTGACTTCAGTGGACGTTGTATCTATTCCAAACTGAAATTCATACACTGATCTAATGACTCAAAATACATCCTCAGTCTGTTCCATGTGGATAATGCTCACCCGTAGTGAGAGTCTCTCACCTTTTTAAACTGAGATTTTCAGTACCCACAACAGACTTTTTACTATTTGTAAGATGGGTATGGCTGTCAAGGAATGAATTTAAAGAACATCCAGTGTTCTTACATTCAAAATATTGTTGTTATTATTAGGAAGTAGTGATTACTACCATTAGGTAGTAATACCATTAGGTAGTAATCTTCCCTATTAAAAAATGGAAAACTTAATAATAGCTTTTCTCTTTCAAGACTGTAGATGAAACCTAATTCATATAAATATTGAAGCATCGATATTACATAAGGTAATACATTTGCATGAATATATGTGTTAATTTATGAGAACAGACCACAAATTTCTAGCACGAGAGCTACATTTAATAACATAAATAGGTGGTAATCTACTATAGGATTTGTCTTTTTTATGGTTTTATAGTTCTTTATGACATAAGTTGGTTTTTTTCGAAGGAGGAAATCAACAATAGAATGCTGCTGGCGGTATTGTGTAGATGTAATATGTTTTAATACTGACCCCTAGTGTCAGAATTATATTTTTGAGCTCATGTGCTGCAAGGTAAAGGGATTTTTGGGGTTTTGTGGTTTGTGCTATTATTTTTTATATTAGCATCCATTCTGCTGCAGCCTGTAAAATAC